ATGTGAACACTGGCCTCCTTGAAAGACTGACCTTTGTACTCTAAGTGCAGATGTACAGCCGAATCTTGCGATACAAGACTCATCTGTACTTAGAGGATAACGGTTACAGACGGTTTGAAAGAGGAGTATTTCAAACCTTGGCTAATAATAGTGGGTCAATGACAATGTTCTAAGGGACAATGCCCACTAGAGTTTAAAAACTAGCGACTCTCCACGAAAACTGAACAAGTCTCTTGGATGAGGTGAAATCCAAGTCTAATCACCTTCTTTTCAAGCTCTTAAAACAACCATGACCTGGATGACTGAGAACCTACACAGACACAGACAAGTGCTTTTTTCTGTGCCCAGATTTTGTCTAACATTCAGACAAACACACGAACCCCAGTGGATGGCTACGGGGCAACTTAGGGTTCAGTATCTTGCACAAGGATACTTTATCATGCAGACTATGCCACAGACTGAGGATCCAAATGCAGACTCTAAGGCTGAACAGGTGAATATAAAACTGACCCTTATTTGAGTTTGAAACCAAAATCCATGAGATGCAAAAATCTAATAGAAAACAAAAGGATCTAAACAGCTCCACTGAGCACACGAAACACAGTCGGGGAACTAAACACGCCTAAACTAAATCATCAACTAAATGAGACACAGCTGAAGTAATCCATGATGGTAAGACAGGTAAAGTCAAACTAAAGAGAAAGCACGAGAGACAAGACGGGAAAACTAACAACAAGATGGGAGACTAAAGAATAAGACACAGGGAACACAGGGGAGCCTGAAAAACCTATAAAAAATCTATAACCACAAGCAGAACCCAGATAGCCGGCGTTTTAATGAGACTATAGAATGTGGCAGCAGTAACTCATGTATCAATACACAAGGAATTCACAACACCATCACCTTGTAATAAAATTAGTAATGTCAGCACTGAGCTTCCAGTTCTATATAACAAGCAATATTAAGACTTAAACACTACAGTAGTTGCTTGTGCTTTAAAAATGTACACAAAAGCTGCTCTGGCTCCCTTAGTTTGTCATGAACCCTGGGGTTGTGTGCCTGAGTTTGAGGTGTTGTATTTCAGACTCTTCTGCTTGTGGTACTTTGAGTTTATAGTTTTAGTTCAGGTTTTTTATTCTGTAAATTTGCTGCACCTGCACTCGTGGTGCCTCCAGAGGTCCACGCAGACCAAGGGAGGGGAGCAGTGGTGCTTCCTGCAGGCATCTGAAGCACAGCCGACAGAGACCCCCTGTGAAGTGACCACCTGAATCCCCTCTGAAGGCTGCTCCTCATCCAGGGAGATGGAGCGCCCATTAAACCTCAAATCCCTTAAGCAACCTAGTGTAAAAAGGAAAAAGAGACGAATGAAGGAAAAAAATTGTTTACAAATCCAAAAGAAGCACCAAAACCAGTCCTCAGGCAAAATCTTTTATAGACACACATTTACTCTGTGGCAGGGGTTTAAAGTCAAATAAACAGACACACTTGCATTAATGCACAAAAACATCTGCAAACCAGTGCTCAGACATGCTCTCACACAGGCAAACACATGAACAGCCTCGGGCCAGGTTGTCATCATAGGCTTTTATTTATGGATATTTTCCTCTTTGCTGGCTAGTTTGCTCACAGTTGGAAGCACGAGGCTCAACACATTACTTAAATACACACCAATGCCACTGACTCACTTCTCTCATCTGCTGGAAACCACAGCATCAACACACCAGTACCAGTAAATACCAGTTTGACCACTAAGTCATTCATCAATTATTCATCATCAGATTTTTCTCCACTCATTTATCTTATTCTTTCAAAGATAGCTGCACAGCAACCTACCCACAAAGCTCCTGTTATGTCCCGAGGGAAAAGAGTTTCCGAGCATCACCGCGGCAGGGTCAATGATGATCTCCCGACTTTGTCCGGGTGAGGCCGTTACCTCTCGCCGTCCTCCGCCTCTGTCAAGTCGCAGGGTGAACTCTCTCCCATATCGGTACAGCTCCACCTCGTGCCAGTCTCCATCATCCAGGCGATGGTAAGGCAGTGTGATGTTGTAGTCTCCATCTCCAAGGTTGTAGAAAACAGCCAGATGACCCTGAAAAACCTAAAAAGCATAGTAATGCTTCATTTAAGATTCTGATGAGGAAGCAACAAAACTCTGCTACTGGAGACTTTAAGGCTTTCGTCTAAAAAGCTGGTCATTTTTGAGCACTTCTTTATGTTAGTGCAGACCTTCCCAAAGTGTGGGGCCAGAGCCATTGCAGGGGGGGCGCGGTATAAAAAGGGGGGGAAGAAAAAACAAAATGCTTGGACACTGCTAGCACAGGCGCCCACAGAAATGCAAAGCAGGAGATGAAGCATCGCTTAATATGTTTCCAAACCAGCTTCATTCTGAGCCAAAGACTAGAAAATATGGTGAAGCAAATCTTCCCTTTGGTT